CATAGCTAAAATGCAAATGGTAGGATTCTATTTACATGAACTTCTAGAAATGCACCTGATCTGTCCTAACAGAAAGCAGATCACTAGCCGCCTGTACAGGGTGAGCAATGAGTGAAAGAGAGGAATTTGAAAGAGGCAGAGGAAACTTCTAGAATGAGAGGTCTCTTTTATGTTGTGTTGATAATGGTTTCACAACAGGTATCACATGGTTGGAACACATTCTGTGCATTTTATTCTGTGTCACTTATACCTCAGAAAGAATTTTCACAATATTAATATTATTTCACAATAATAATATTATGACTTCGTGTTGACACAAAGCTGTGTCCCGAAAACCATGGAGGTCTCAGTGCCCACCGCCTGGTGTTTTCTGACAAAGCAACAAGTTCTGTGCGATACTTCTGTAAGAGATGCTGCATGACACTGTCACAGAGAGTTGCCTATATTTCGCTAAACAATGCAAATAAAGGTTAGGAGAAGTGGCCAGCTGCCTGAAGACTCAGGATAAGAAACTTTAAAGCCCAGAAAGTATGGTAGAATTGACTGGTGTGATTTCATCATGAAAGCACTGTGTCACTTTCCTTGCTTAGAGTCTCCTAGAATAGACGTGCATCTTATAATCAACGGTATCTTAGACTCAATGAACCCAGTATCTGGGGACCACAGTCACCCCAAAAGCCCCCTTGGGAGAGGAGGCCTGGCCAGAATCTTCAAGAAGCAGATGAAAACTCCAGGGCTGCAGGATTCAGGCCGAGTATAGTTCAGGAGCTTGTGGACATCTTCTGTCCCCTGGTAGATGATTTTAGAAGGGCTGCCCCACCTCCCACGAGAAAGTCTGTTAGGGCTGGGAGGAAATTTAAAAGGTCACTTTCAGCCCATGACTTTTTGTTTGTTTATTTGGTTGCTTGGTTGGTTTGGGTGGGGTTTGTTTTGTTTTGCACATGTCCCCGGCTTGGTACCTGTCACACGATGGTTGATAATAAGCATGTCTATCTGTCTCCAGGTCACTTAAAAATCATGATGTGCATGATCAAAAGCTCCTCCTGCCCTAGTGCCACAGAACTAAAGAAGACCCAAGCCCTCACTGCTCTCACTGGGTCCCCTCTTTGCAAGCAGCGGTGGGCGGAGAGGGAGAGCCGAGCTGCAGAGAACCACAGCGTGTGTGCACATCTGACTCAGGAAAGTCACCCAGCTGCTCTGGGCCTCATTTTCTCTCCCCGAAGCATCAGTCCATGTTACGGGGTAAGTGCCAGGGTTAAGCAAGGCACCGCTATCAGAGGTGCATACCCACAAGCATTTGGAGCCAGACAGGTCGGTGGGGACCAGCACGCCAGGCAGACCAAGCCCTTTCCTAAGAGAACGTCCCCTATTCTTTGGCTCAGCCTAGTAGGAAGAGGACGGCGGGCCACCAATGTTTAAATGTATTGCACAGTGCAGGAAAGCACCTGTGGTTTTTCTGTTCAGCATCCAGTGTGTGGACAGGGCCCAGCAGCTGATAGATGATGGGGTAATAAGGGTACAGGATCTGACCCCCACAACCTCCCTGACAGGGCTCCCTGCGGCCCTTGGGCTGAGCATTCACAGGCTGCCCAGCTCTGTGCCAGCGCTGCAGTCAAAGACCAGCAAGAACGCAGTCCCCAGCACTGCAGGCTTTCAGCTGAGAGCAATTGCCAGGCAGTGAGCTCAGCGCTCCGAGAGTCTGATCTGTAATCCTCACCCCAACCCCATGAGGTGTCATCTATTATTACCCAGCTTTGAAGTCGGAGCCATCTGGAGTTGGAGGTCAAGTGAGTGACCAGGCTGCACCCTTCCCCACCCTCCCCACATCTCAGCCTTGATTTCCCCAAAAACTCTAAGCCCCCTCCCAGGCAGACACATTCTTGGAAGTCGTTTTAGAAATAACATTCTTAGCACCTAATTTCTAGCCTGCATCAGAATTGTTTTCCATTATTTCTCCCCCTGATGGTTTGTTGGTCTGAGCCACTGGGGAGTTTTATTACAGCTGTGCTTTTGTAATCTGTGTGGATTGGGCTGGGCTCGGCTCACATATGACCCAAAGATGCTCCAGCCCCTCCCAAAGATGCTGTAGGATTTGCAAATAAACTATGAAGGTCTCATGTCATTTAAATCATCTCTAGGTTACTTACAATGCCTAATACAATGTGGATGCCATGGAAACAGTCACTGTGCTGCATTGTTTAGAGAGAAGTGACAAGAAAAAGGTCTACACGTGTCCAGCATAGATGCAGGGATTTTTCCCCCCAAAGTATTTTCCATTAGTGGTTGGTGGAGTCCATGGATGGAGAACTACAAATGCGACTACTGCTTTAACCTGCTGAATCCAGTCCTCATCATTTGAGGCCACCAAAAAGGTGCTTCCAAAAATTAGGCTTCCTGAAGCTTCCTGATGTTAAGTTTGGGTTTTCATTTCTTTCACCTTGGGTGGTTTCTCTTCTAACAGCAGGATGCTGAACAAATGAGCAAGTGATCTGTGTGATCAGGGTGCTGCTGACTCTCTGTACCTGAGAAATGAGCAGAGGTCTGACTTATTGGGGCGATCCCTGGCTCCTAGGGGAGAGCGACCAACTAGTGTGGTGTTGGAGAATGTTGAGGCTGAACTACATGCAGGGCTGTGACCTGGCCCGGCCTGATTGAACTGAGAACGAGGAGATGCCTCAGGGAGCGAGATAGGCCACAGCTGAGGCCACCTGGAGACTTTCTGGGTAGTTTTTCTTAGTTAGCATCATCTGTTGCTCTGAGGGGGTCCTTGAACCCCTCCCAAGATCCGGCTCAGGTTTCCTCCATTGTCCACTCAGCTCCTTGCTTGTTCTGATTAAATCCTGGCTGCCCAGGGTCAGTTGGCCAGCGGGTTAGCAGTTACCAGCTTTGCTGAGGATCTCACTTCTCCTGCAGCCCTAAAGACCCTGCAGTGTGTCTCATTCCTTTGAGCTTTCACTCTGCACCCATTTTGGGGGCTGGGAATCTAGGCACAGACCCCAAAAGTCTGGAGTAACAGCCCCAGCCTCCCAGGACAAGATCAGAAAGACCACGCTCAGAGGTTGCTGGCTCACAGGAGCCGCGGGTTCTGGACAACAACTCCTTATCACCTGTGAGGGCAGCGGCTTCAGTTTGCAAGCCTCAGCCTGGGTGTGCAACACGTGCGAATCTTCAGCATTTCTGAGGTTTTTGTTTACTATCTTCTTACTCCAGATTACACTCAACGTGTTCTCAGAGGCCTTTGAGGCTCCTGATTACAGCTTTGACTTCACCACAGCTCCGAAAAGCCTTGCTGAGCGTCTAGTCTGGCTCTTTGCCTTGGTGTCTGCACTGCCTGCAGCAAGCTTCCCAAGACAGCCTCGGGCTTTGCCCTTTCTCTCCTCATGGCTCACTGAAGGGTGTCTTCATCAGAGAGGGTCTCTACCATACTTAAAGTAGCATGTGTAATCTCACTCCACTATACTGCTCTCCTGCTATTTACCATCACTTCACATTATGTGATGCACTTGTTTGATGGTTTGTCTGTCTGTGTCTCTCTCATATTAGCTCGGTTTTGTTCACAAATAGAGCCCTTGTGCCTAAAATTGTGGGTGGCCCATAGTACGTGCTCAGTAAATGTGTGTTTTATCCTATCACAAACTCAGCCAGTTACTCCTTTCACTAAGGTCCATTTAAGACTCAGAGCGACGTTTAACAAAAGCAAACAAAATGTGGCCATGTAAGTGGAGCATTCTACCAACATGCCCTTTGACAGTGAAAAACGGCAGCATTTTCACCTAGCCTAGTTTTTTCACAGGCCTGACCTCTTCGACTATTTCCTGGCTCTGTCTCGTGTTTCTGAGAAATTACTCAATAGATGTTCCTATTACTACACTTTTATTAGGAAAGAATAGAATTTCGCCCACAAATCTTGTCCATTTAAGGTCAGACTCACAGACTTCTCTGTGCAGCTGGGTTTGTCCCTCTGGTTTTTCAGTGCTCCTAGATATGCGACACTGGGGGTAGGTGCCCCCTCTCCCTTCACCCCTTTGTCTTTGCCCCAGTCAGCAGCCTTCAGCCTTGTGTTTTTCAGACGTGGCTTGCAACTTACAGCCCCTCGCTGGGTAATGAAGTTACTTGGAACTGTGAACAACATTTTAAGGAAAAGTAGAATAGGAAATAGCAGTGTTTTTAATAGTGACTCGTGATTTTTAAAGTTCGAAACACTGCTGTGGCCAAATGGGTGTGGTGGCACTTGCCTGTAATCCCAGCACTCGGGAGGCTGAGGCGGAGAATTGCTGCAAGTCTGAGACCAGCCTGAACTGCATAGTGAGACCCTGTCTCAAAGAAATCAAAAAAAGATCAAACACACGGGGCCTCAAATGCGTGCATTACAATCCCCCGCGTTGATGACAAAGTTTGCATGGCCTGGGACTGTAGCGTTCCACTTCATACCCCAGTTCCAGGAAGCCCATCTTTTTTTTTTTTTTTTTTTGTCTTTTTCGTTTTTATCGGTACCAGGGATCGAACTCACGACTGCCTGCTTGCAAGGCAGGCGCTTATGCCGCTGAGCTAAATCCCCAGCCCCCAGGAAGCCCATCTTTAGACACAAGGTCGATGAGGGCCTTAGAGACCATGCAAAAGATGGGTGAGCCAGGGCTTACAGGTCAGGTCAGGAATCAAAAACCTAAAAGGGGACAACAGGCAAGACAGGATGAGGCCAGGCTGGATGGAAGTCACACAGTGTGCAAATGGGTTGATAAATCTTGCTCAAGAGGCAGGGTGCTGTAGGGAAGAACAGCTGTGTACTATTTACTCTTCTGGACCAAACCTGAAGCATTTGGTTACTGAGCTGTTACTGAACCAACCTGAAGAAGTTTGCCTTAGGAATTAATCTAAACCCTCTTGAATCAACTGAAATGTTTTACATTTCTACTTCCCCCATGAGTTTCTGCTTGGATACTATGTATTCATATCAACCAAAAGAAGCCAAAGTCACCTAGTCACCATATAACACATTCATATCCATTTCAGATATTTTATTGAATAAATAAAAGCTTTTTAAACTTATAAATGATATCCTTTCTTTGAGCACTTAAAAACATATAAACTCATGTAATCAAGATGCTTAGAGACATATGTAGATTCCCGTGAAGGTCTTTCCTTCACCATCTTCAAATTATGATATCTAATACTACGTGGAAAAACTTAGGGCTTTGTATAAAAAAAAATACAGTAGCATCTACTTATCGTAAAGATTCCGTGGAGTATTTTCACTTTTAAAAATCAACCAGGATAATTAAACAATAACAACTCAGGACATTTATAAATAGCAAAGCTCTACTTTCACAATGAAAATTGTATTCCCTTAGAGCGTGGTTTGCTTTGAGCTCCAGGACACTGAGTGTGTGTGTGTGTGTGTGTGTGTGTGTGTGTGTGTGTGTGTGTGTGTGTGTGTGTGTGTGTCCTGAAGGCACTGAGACCAGAGTGCATGAAAGCTAGGAAGAGAACATGTATCTGTTGGTATTTTGGTGAGCCTAACTGCCCATTTGATACCAGCCTTGGTAACTGGAGTCCTTGGCCCCATCAGAGACTCAGCCTTGTTGTCTCTGGGTCCATGAGGAGAGGAGACCCAGCTGGGCCGCTCAGAGGCCCCAAGGAAAACTGGCCCACCTGCTGGTGCTGCTCTAACTGGTGCCTGCACCTTAAGGAAAAGGTTCCTTCTTTCCTATTCTCCTGTATGGGACAAGAGTCCTGCTCACAAACTCCAGGTCCCGTGATAACAATTTTCAGGCCCTCATCCCAGAAGTGATCGCCATGTCCTCCTCTGACCTCTTCCTCTCCTCGTTGGCCAAGGGTGTTCTGTCCACTCACGGGCCTGCCCAGCACACAGCCTGCTGTCAGGGCGCCTAGGGATCCTTATCGCTGGGTTAGTCCCACCAGGGCTCTCCCCACACCTGTGGGGTGAATTAGAACAGGTGCAGTTTGGGAAAACCATCATGATGATGATTTGGGAACGGAAATTAGACTTCTAAGAGCTCTCACCCTAAGGCCTAGAAGATTGACCCCTGATGACAATACCTAACAAACTTGCCTCAAAATGACTTCAGTAACTTTTTTCCCCCTTTCCTGAAAGCTACAGACTGGCAGCTTTGAATACAGAACTCTGTATCTTCTGTATAGGACTATCTGCCCTCTTCCAGGTCATGAGGCTCCCATTTATTGGGTGTGGGCACCTGTGGTTTTAACACAATTCACCTGCTTATCTGGTGGCATAAACTTCAGAGCCCTTCCTCTGTACTTAGGTATTCTGAGCTAATCCTGAAACCTGAGAAGTGCATTTAGAACCAGGTTTACAACCCAGAGATCCTAAATCCTCATCTTCCTGGTATTCCATGGAGATCAGAATTTGCTGTTCTTACCAAGAGACACCCATCCCCTTCCAGAGAGGAAAGGCTCTCTTTCTGAGTGAAGGTTCTTCATCTAGGCCGGTAATGTCATCCCTGGCTTTCTTCTTTGGAAGCTCTTTCCTGAAATAGCCTTTGGACTAAGACTGATTTTTCCTGTGACTCACAATAGCTCCCAAAAAGGATCCCAAAGAGACACAGGTGGAAGCGTCTGCGCCTGACTGACCTAGGAACACTGCTTTCAGAGGAGACTGCCCGCCCCCGCCCCCAGGCACTCGGGGCTTGGACAGAGCCTAAATTCCTATGCATCTCACTGCAACTATGTGTATGCTGAAGAAAAAAACTAGAACACTGACTGGTGGCCTCCATACCCATTTACTGAGTGTCCCTACATGAGAATTTGGTGTTTGTCTCTATCCCCACAGTTTGACATACAGGAATCGAATGAGATGAAATTGCCAGATTAAACTGAATTAAATTGTTTCAGTGAGGGCATTTCAGAGCTTATTAGTTCTCACTGCTTGTGTGCAAGGCACAAGGTGTTCTGAATGTTTACAAATGCATTTTTATTGTCACAGCTTCATTTCCACAGCAGGGAACTGACCTGTTCCACCGATGTTAAGACTATGACACATTAACACACATTTGTATTTATCCAGACATAAACCGTCATTTTCCAAGTTTTTAAAAAATCTGTTTCAAACATCAGGTCCTTCTGATCCTAATTTTTTCAATGAAAACTAAGTCTGAGATCACCCCTAACATCCCTCATGGCTTGCCGAACTGTTGAGAAGTACATGCAAAATACACGCCCTTGTGGCATGAATAGAGCTCTAAAAAGAGAACTGAAATCATATGACAAAAATAAAGTACCTTCAATAATGCCATTGCTATGTTTTCAACTACAGCACACGAAACAAGATCTCTTACCCAGTTTCCCCACCAGGGGTTAGAATGCGTTTCCAGTGAGCTCACGAGAAAGCCCTTCTCTTCAAGGGTGAAGGGCAGACTCTGTCCTTTGGATCAAAATCAAGCCACACTGATCCAAAACCCAAGGAGAAGAGCTTCAAAAGATCCTGAAAACAAAGGTTCTAGGAGGTTCTGGTCTGTGCCAGAAACACAGACCCAAGTCATTGTCTAAAAGACAGAAAAAATACTGTCAAGAAGAATCTGTATTCCTGCAGTGGCCGGCACTGTGCAGATGTCTGCATTCTTCAGAAAACAGCAGCTGAGGCCTCTGGAAATCTTGATTCTATAACACAGAACAACAGCTGGACCTAAGGAGACCAGGGCCCCAGGCTGTGGTGAAGGTGATTTTTTGTCTGGTAAGGACTGATCCAGTTCAAAGCAGGCCATTCTGTGATCAGAAAAGGCAGAGAGCAGAACAAGAATCTTTCATCTCTTCCAGAACTGTCCGTGTGGACCTGCCAAGGACGACTCTATGAGGTGTCCTAGGTGGGGAGCCTGAAGGCTGACACTATGGATTGCATACAGTTTACAAACAGGGGTAAAAGAAAGGAGGGAAGAAGAAACACCGTCATGCCTTGCAGTCTTAAAGAGTAAGACCTGAGCTGGCTTTGGGCTTGGGTTTTGGTTTTCCAGCTCCGAGCTGGGCAGTATGGAAGGCAGGATGCTGACCGTAAGGGGAAGACCCGGATGGGGACCTCTGGCTTGGCACCTGCTGGAGAGTCACGTAGCCTCCCCATACTCTACTTCCCATCTGCAGTCAGGAGTGACTGTGTCAGGACCAGATGGTCACTGGGGTTGAATAAAGGGATGTAAGAACATGCCAAGCATGGGACCTGGCATGAGCAGGTGCGTCCTGGATGTCATCCATACTCATCTCCATGCTCTCCCTCGTGAGGTAGGTGAGCACACACTCCTGGCTGCTCTCAAGGGTCCCAGAGCTGTGACCTCAGGGCAGGCAGCTCCGACACAACAGGACACAACACAAGATACAGTGCGTGGGGTTCCCCTCCGGGTGCCTTGGCTGTCACACAGACACTGCTCCTGGCACGATCCTCCGGATGTGTGTGTACGACTTCCTGATGGTGACACTGCCGTGATGCGACACACCCCGGGGGAGGACACACTCCTCCGTCAGCTTCTGGCTCTCGGGGTCCCAGCACAGCACCGTGGCAATGACCTCATTCTTCTCGTCCCGCCCGCCAGTGATGTACAGGCGGTTGTTGCAGGGCGCGATGCCGCAGCTGGCACGCTCGTGGCTGAGCTGGGTCACGAGGCTCCAGCTGTCCTCGAGGGGGCTGTAGGCGTACAGCGCCCTCATGGCCCCGCCTGAGGAGGAAGAGCACAGATGATAAGCATCACAGCAGTTTTCAGGCCATCTTTCCCACTAACACATGAGAATTCCACTTCCGGTCTAGACAGGTCTACCTGTCCTGTAGAGGGGCAGCGTCCTCTGCAGGAAACCAGCTGGAGCTGCCAGCATGGAGATACTTCCTCTGCGTTCTGCAACCGGGCATGCATGGGGCTCCTAGGCACACCTACCATCACCACCTGTCAAAATGCACCTGAGCTGCCTCTAGATTCGGGGCCAGGTCTACCAGAAGCCTCAGCAGGTGCTTCTGGTAGACGTGGCCCACGATCCCACCTCTGTGGTGATCTGTGACCCTGAGCACCAACATCACCAGAAGCCATTTGTCCCTGGCTGTCACTGGGGTGGTGACTCTGTAGATGAAGCAAGGTCTCAGACCTCAGCCAGAGTTACCCATTTGAAATCAGCCTTCAAAGCGGCCCGGAGGAGGCTGGCCGTGCACAAACACAAGAAAACAAAAGGAAGGGAGAGAAGTGTTTTCTTCTGAACCCTTTCCTGTGTTTTGCCTCCAATGTCTTCTCTAATTAATATGCAACTTTTCAGAGTACCTGCAGCAAGCCAAGAGCAGTGAATTCCCTCTCAGAAACAATGCACATGTACTCTGCTGGGCATGTTCCAGCTTCTGTACGATTGCTAATGTGTGTGACACACCTTTGTCCTGACTTCTAGCTTCCTCCTGTGGCCACAGCCTCTACCTTCTGTCTTGGTTTTATTCCGCCTCTGGGACTGCGAGGGAAATTCCACCCAGGCCTGCACCAGCCCCTCCCACACCACCCAGGATTCCCGAGGGAGGGCACCTTTCTGATATCCAGCCTGGCTGCTGGGGGGCGGGGAAGAACCTCAGTCAGAGATGAGGCCATCAGCCACTCACCAACAACATAGATGCGGTCCCGGAAGCTCACTGCATTGATGCATTTTGCCTCCACTGGCATGGGCGACTTCAAAGTCCACTTATTTGTCAGAGGATCGTAGCACTGCGTCTTGTCTGTGGCCAGCTTCCCGTTGGGCCCACCCCCTATCACGTAGAGCTTCTTCTTGTGACTGGTGGCCGCGAACGAACTGACATGGACGAGGAGGGGAGCAACCTGCGGAGGACAGGACACAGGAGCTGTCAGTGTGCTGCCCTGGCTGCAGGACATGTGCCCCAGGGTCAGACCTGACATCATGAACTCCAGGATAACCTAGAAATACAGATGACATCACTTTGTTTGCCCTGAGGTCGCATTGCTAAAGACTTGTACTGAGCCATTCAAATCGCTCATGGTTAATGGGAAACAAAGAAGGGCTGACTTTTAAGCTCGACCAAGTGTGACTAGGCTTGCATGCTGTGTACGAAGGGGTCCCCGGGTGTGTGGTGTGGAGGATGACAGGACAGAAGGTGTCTGAGATGGTGGACTCTGGACAAAGACATAGGACCCAGGCATCTGCCTGTTCAACGCCCGTCTGTCTTCCCCCAAGTCTGGCCACGCCAGGACAGGCAGCGCCCACAGGGCCTCTCCAATGGGAAGGACACTGCTGTGTGACCTGTGCAGCAAAGCTAGAGCCCTAGGTCCCCAGGGAGCTCAGACCCGCCCTCAGTGAAAGTGGCCTCGAATGTGGCCCCCACCTCTCTCTCGACCACGTCCCCCAGAGACACCACCCAAGCTACCTCCGACCAGCAGTTGTGGAAGGGGTCGTAGGTCTCCACGTTGTTGATCCTCTGCATGCCGTCAAACCCCCCGATGACGTAGACCTTGCCCCCCAGCACCACCATCTTGTGCCTCCAGCGGCCTATGTTCAGATATTCGATCTGAATCCACTTGTTAATCGAAGAATTGTATTTCCACACATCGTGCTGGGTTTCTTTGCCACCTAGGTGAGATACAAAGCATTGAAGGGGCCACCAGTGTGCCCCAAAGATGGCCTTTACCATCATTTCTCACAATTCCAGAAGCACAGGACCCCAGCCCAGAGCCACCCTCTGGGAAGAGAACAGGAACCCCAAGTTATGTATAATCTGAGGGGGGACAAGGCCGAGGCAGGAGCAGGGAGAGGAGAGGAGGGCTGGGGTACCATGCCGGAGCAGGCTTCAGGGTGGTGGGCACCATTGGCCAGGGCAGCACCTGCACACAGGGCTGGAGCCCACATGGAGCAGGGAGTCCAGCCAGGCAGGGCCTTGGCCGCCCAGCAAATCAGAAAGCTGCTTATGTATAATTATTTAAACAAGCAGACAAATAAATGACAAAAACAGGTCCTAGAAATCGCCAAGATATCTTACAAAATTTTCTTGGATCTTATCAAATATAAACAGGACTAATTCTATTTTAAAGTTCATTTTTATGAGACATTGAGGTTTTTATTTTGTTTGGTTTTTGGCATTCTGTCTTGTTTAGTTTTTGCGGTACTGGGAATAGATCTCAGAAGCATCTGCCACTGAGCTAAGTACATCTCCAGCCCTTTTTTATTTTGAGATGGGAATCTGGTTAAGTGGTCCAAGTTGGCCTCAAGTTTGCTGTCCTCCTGCCTCAGCCTCCTGAGTAGATCATTTAAAGAATGATTGGTCAATATTCCCTGCAAGAAAGCTCTCTAAATAAACAGAAAAAAGAAGTCAGCAGTTAGGCAGAGAAACCAAGACAAAGAGAAGCTGCCTTTTTATGGGCAATTTAATAAAATGTGGTAAATACTTTGTGTTTCCATGTTCCCATCAGCACCCACCACCAACCACTGGATGCAAAGATTGATGGCAGTTTTCAGAGTTACCATGTGCTCTAGGGGCACAGGGTATCACTGACAAGGTCCCGTGGCACAGGCAGGAAGGAGTTCCTCTAGCGAGAAGCCCAGCACTGGGATTTCTAGCTCAGAGGCTTGCGCACACCGGTTTTTTTTAAAAAGTACTTGTCGGTAACACAGAATGGTAAGATTCGTTCCAGTAAAGGGGTCCACATGTTTAACGCACCTTTTCTTTTCTTATCCCCGTGTCCACCTTTCTGCCCCTCGCCATTGCTGATGCCTTTCCCTGTCTCCAAAAGTCTGTTCCTAGTTTCCTGCCATCTCTTATTTGATTTCTTATATAAGAAGAAACATGCAATTTTTAAAGGAATTTGGTTTATTTTACTTCATCTGATGGTCTCTAGTTCCATCTATTTTCCTGCAAGTGGCACAATGCCGTTCTCCTTTGTGGGTGAATAATACTCCACCACATGTAGACGGGCACGTATCTCCCATTTTTCTCTATTCATTCACCAAGCCTATTTCCACAGCTTAGCGGCCGTGACTTGTGCCTTACAAACAGGAATGTGGATTTTCACAGACTTGAAGTGCTTGCTGTCTCTCCCCACCTCCTCTTCTTTCTCCTGATGCAGAAAAGCAGTATGACAGTTTGACTTTCCCAAACTATAATGGAAGCTCAGTTTATTTTGCTGTTGTTGTTGCTTTTTTGAAGTTCTCGTTCACATACTCTGACATTTTCCTCTGGGCATGTGGCTTTTAGAGGTCTTTATTCAAAACACTGTGATAATTCTTTTTAAAAACCCACTGTGCTATTGATCCCGTTTAGATGATGTTAAAAATTACTATAAAATGTATCAACTTCAAATAAATGTATTCAGCCTTTATTTAAAAAGAGAAAAAGCAAATAACTCCGAGATTTTATTTCAGGACTAAAAAAAAAAATATGGCCTGATTGATGGGGAAAGGGTATCACATGCAGAGGTTAGAGGGTGTTGGGCAAAGCCCCCGTCCTTCAGGTAACCTATACACGAGGCCTCCAGGGCCTTTTTGGGGGCCTTGACAAGAGAAGTCCTACTGGGACAAGTACATCTGGAAAAACATTTATTTACTATCTTATTTAGCAGCGCTGAGATGGAACCTAGCTAGGGTCTCATGCACACTAGGCAAGCGGTCTAACCCTGAACTACACCCCTAGATCAAAATAGTTACCATCCCCACCAGGTGTGGTGGTGCACACCCATAATCCTTGCATTTGGGAGGCGGAAGCAGAAGTATCACTGCAAGTTCGAGGCCAGCCTGGGCTACAAAGTGAGCTTAAGGCCAGCCTGAACTGCACAGCAAGACCCTGTCTCCAAAGGACAGAAAACAAAAAACAAAACCAAAGATAGTTACTATAATTAGCTCCCTGAAAACCAATTTAAAGGCTGCCTTTCAAAAAATTGTTTGCCTTGTGTTTGTGTGTATATGTGTGTGTGGTATATCAAACCCAAGTCTGCACATACTAGAAAGTGGTATATGCTCAGGGGAAACAGTGGTATATGCTTATTTGGAAACTAAGAAAGTTTCCAAAACCAAGAATGAAGAAGTAGGCTTTCTGTATTCAATATTAAAATGAGCCAAAGAGCTATTATAATGAAACAGTATGGTATGTGCATAAGATTAGGCAAATTGATCAGTTAAAACATTAAGATTATAGAGATAGATTAAAATACAAAGCAACCATTAAATACATGTTATTTAGAACAATTGCTATTCACTTGGGGAAAACTGAATTAGGTGCTTTTTCACATTACATTTAGAATAAAATCCAAATGTAGGTGCTATAAAATTTACTGAACAATAGATCGGTCACAACCTTCATGACCATGGGGAGGTAAGTGATTTTCAAAGCGTGACATGAAACTCAGAATCATATAGGAAAGAAAATGCCAATAGAAATATAAGTCAAAGTTAAAATACAACCAGAATCTGAGAGAAAAAGCATTTGCAACATAAAAAGCAAAGGACATATAACAAAAGCTCTAAAAAAAATCTGAAGAAACAAACACCAGAGAAGTAGCCCAAGGGTAGGAACAGGTCATTTAAAAAAATACAATTATCTAGTTATCATATGAAACTATGCTCAGCCTCACTGAGGACCTGGTGGTGTAAATGTAAACGCTTAGCCTATTACAAATTTAAATGGCCCTTTCCTTTTTCTGTACATGTTTGAGGTCCCTCATAGTTACACTCCTTGTGTGGCCAGAGGGAGAAGGAACAGATGTGTTCTGTGCCTGCAGAAATTCCCCACGAGGAAGGTGAACCTTGTGTACTGCACACATATACAGCACCAGTAGAAAATAATTTTTAAAATGTAAATAATAATAGCATTGTTGGACAAACCACACCTTCCCATGAGCCAGGCTCCGCCACGGGAATCCAGAAGAGACACAGCAACAAGATGGACCGCTCCTGCCTGTGAGCCAGCTGGTGCGCGGCCGGGAACCAGAGGGCGTCCCCGCCTCCACCCCACTCCAAAGCAACTGGCTGGTGCAGAGGACTCGGGTGAGATGATAGCAGCTGAGGTGAAGGAATAGCTGGTGCTTGTGCTGTTTGATTGACTCTGCAGCCTGGGGCTGGTGGTCTGGGCTTCTGTTTGGAGGATGGAAGTGTGCACTGTGCCGACGGTGGGGGATCTCCTACCTTGCTTTCGAAATCCAAAGTTTTGTTCCATTTTACTGTTTTGTTTTATTCCTGTGTCTGGGAACCTGAGCAACTATTTTGAAGATAACAATGTGCAGTTATACAACCATTGTTAAATTCCCATCATCTTATTTTCAGAACCCATATAGCCATTGTTGTTGTTGTTTTGTTTTTGTTGTTGTTTTTTACGTTTGTTTTGTTTCTTGACTTTTCTGGGTTTTTTCCCTCTTCAAAATTAAAAAAAAGGAAAAAAATAATAGCACTGTCATTCATGCCAGGTAGAACTGTAAATTGGTACAATTGTTTTGGGGGACAATTTGGCAATATATATAAAAATTCCCAATTCCCCTACCTTACGACCACACCCAGCACCTTTCCAAAGAGTGGCACAAGTACACAAAGCAGGAGGGCGTAAGAATGGCTTGTTCCATAATTTGATTTCAAGGGAATAAAAAAGGAAAAAGTACCTCTGCTCACTCTTCACCAGGATGCCTGAGAGCTGATAAAAAGGAGCGGTCGTGCTGGGAAAGAGGGACATTAAACTGTGGCCGTGCAGTATATCACTTCGTGCCTATGTCCATTGCACCAACATAGAATGAGCCCCAAATTACTCTGTTAACTGAAGTACAAGATTCTCTTGATTTAATTGCGCGTGGCAAGCATGCTTTTTATGCACTGTTTATACCACTAAAAAAAACCTGAATGATAAATTTAAAAGGGGAAGAATGAGTTGTAGAGTCCCACGTGCTACTTATGTGGCAAAGACCAAACATGATCACAAACTGCTTTCCCTCCTGAGTGCCCAGGTGAACCCCATTTCCTGACCTACCTGTATGCGGGGAGGGGACGGGTGGGTGGCTGGTTTCTGCCACTCTTTGTGAACAAGGTCAGTGCAGCCTTTCCAGGCTGAGGGTTTTTGTTTGTTTAGTTTCTGGTTTTGTTTTTCCTTTTTTTTTTTTTTCTTTTCCTGACAGGGTCCCACTATCTATGGAGCCCAGACTGGCCTTGAACTTGTGGTGATCCTCCTGCCTCAGCCTCCCCAGTGCTAGGATTATAGGTATGCACCAGTGCACCCCACAAACAGCTTTTATGAGCTGAAATCGCCTCTCGACTTGCTCGGTTTCTGTCTCTTCCCTAAAGGCAGGCCACATGTGGGAAATGGCAGTGTCCCTAGACTTGAGGATTAGGGTCCCTGAAAGCTTTGCTGAAGCAGAGGGACCCTCTACGCCAGCCCCAGCCCCATACCGCTCTGTTGAATCGCCAAGAGTATTTGTTAGTTACGGCATACTTGCCCTAAAACAAAACTATTTCATAAAGAATTAAAACACTGATGTATAATGCAGAGAAACTGCCACATTTTATGTTCTATTCTCTCTTGTTGTTAACTCTTCTATCAGAATTACAAATATTTCTACAAGACTGCCCAGGTGGCGAGTTCTGATTGGTGGAAGCCTCCAGGAGTGGGGAAGGGGTGCTGCCTCCTGTCTGGGGTTCCAGAAAGAGCCAGGTGGCTTTGGAGATGAGGGCGGAGCCTGAGATTTAGGCTCCTATCTGGGTTAGACTCTGCCCATTGCCCACCAGAGAGTGACCCTTGCTATGTTCTAGAACCTCTCTGAGCCTCAGTGTTCTCCTGCCTTAAAAATACCCCGCCTCATAGAGCTGGTGGGAGTACAAACAGTGAAAAGTTATCAGAGATTCATCCAAGTGTGTGTGTGTGGTGGGGGTCAGATCACATCTGACACGGTCAAGGCTGGGACACTGCCATCTCACAGTCTGTTCCACTACCTGGCTCGGGAAAACGTGTGGTGCCCCCCTGGGGGACTGGCTTCGCCTTCCCACGACTCCTGCTTACCTGAGATGTAGACCTCATTTTTTAATGTCACGCATGCAAACTCCACCCACTTCTTATTCTCACTGTCCAGCTCATGCTCGGTCAGGGGGAGCTTGGCCACCTCCAGGCGGCTGCGCCGCAGGGGGTCCAGGCAGGTTACCTCTGCCACAAATCGTTCGTCCTTAGTGCAGCCGCCGATGATCATGAACACCTCGGACTGGAACTCGTGCATCCTGGGCTTGGTGCGCTCTGAAATGATCTGGAAATCAACGGGGGGGCGGGGACATGGAGCCATGGTGACCTGAGGGTGCAGAGCTCGGCCTAGGGAGCCCGCAGAGCAAATCTGCCACAGGACAGCCATGGGGGCTTCGCGTCCCAGAGTGTCAGTTTCCCCATGTGTATAATTCGGGGTTTGTATTAATACTTCATAGGTTTGGGGTGAGGATTAAATGGAACAACATAAGCAGTGTGCTTGGCCTAGGGCCCGGTGTATGGCAAGCCCTCAGTGAATGTTGTCTGCTGTTTTTATCCAGAAGACGAGGTGTGGGGATGCACTTCCTGTCTCTTCCCTCCCACCCAGGACTGAAGCCTTACATCCTGGAATTTCACTCTGGGCTATTTCTCCCCCTGGTTCCAGTTTCTTCCTGATATCTCAGACTGTGCTGCTCATCAACCTTCTTCTGAAAGAAAAACTCATGAGAGTGACCACACAGAGTCTTTGGAAACTTAAAAGAACCAGAAGGAATCAGGGTGCAGCTGGGGACTGAACTCAGCACCGTCTGTGACCCTGTGGGACCTTGAACAACTGAAGAAATCTACACCGTTAGAATGGAGCTCAGAGGGCAGAGGGCAGAGGCTTAGAAGCCAGACGTGCCAGCGTTCCATGGCCTCTGTGAAACGCTGTCATGGTGTCCATGTCATCTGATCACTGTGAGCGTTTGTTAGGTCATGAGGGGGACACCAGGCATAGGGACACCCCTACGCCAGACAGACCTGGGCAGAGCAGGAGTGGGGGCTAGAAAAGAAAGAGCTGCCACCCCTGGTTCTGCCCATCACTGGGGCAGTATAGGGAGGGCTCTGCAGGTGCCGATGGGGATAGAGAGGCAGAGCCCACCTCCCAGTTTGCCAGAGCACCACATTCTTCCTGCAGAGCTAGGCTGACCTCATACCGATGCTCAATGTCTCTGTTACTTTTCTTGTTTCTGTGACAAAATACCCAGTACCCAAAGTTGAAGGAGGAAAGGTCTAGGGTAGATCACAGTCTGTTGGTAGAGGTTTCAGTTCATAGTTGGCTGGCTCCAGGCAGGGAGGCAAGGCAGAGGGGGATCGAAGAATAGGCAGGCAAAAGCAACAAGCAAGCCTCTTTCTGTCCCTTACATTTTATCCCGCCCTGAGGGTGTGTAATACTCAGGCCAGGGTGGGCATCCTTAATCCTACCCAGAACTATGCCAAACCAGTCAGTGGACTAATTCAGTAACCACACACCCTGGACCCCAGCATCACACACTCTAGATCCAGCCACCTCTGAAAACTCCCCACCCACAACTGCATGAGGCTTTGGGGGACACCTCAGCACAACCCCTACCAGTGAAACTGATGGGGCTCAAACTCTCAATCCTCCTGCCTCAGCCTCCCAAAATGCCAGGATCACAGGTATCCCATCACCACCACCAGCCAGTCTGTGACCAGAAGGCCACAACAACAATGGGCTGAGCCTGGGGCCACCAGCGGCAGAAAGGCCATGAGGGCTGAGCATGACGGGGGTGACCTGGGGAACTCGGAGATGCTAGATAGCACCATGCTGGCAGAACGGGCACCTGAGCAACGAGCTGATGCCAAAGACAACTTCGCCACTCTGCTGTCATCGGGCCCTGTCCCTCAAACTCCTTCCCCCCACTACTATGGTACAATCGGCAGCACCGATCTGGTCCCCTCTCAGAGGGGACTGAGGTGCTGCAGGCCTGTACTTAGAGGACAGCAACCAACCTTCCAGAACCGGTGCCCTTGTGCTGTGACCCTCACTTGGCTGGTCCAGGCCTCGGTCTCCTCTCTGCGGCCCCCGCTTCCTCACTATGCCTGTTCCCTGCCCCGATGGCTGGCTGGGCAACGAGGATAAGAGCGGCCAGGACCAGCCACAATCTGACCTCTCAACACCAGGGCTGCCGTTTGTTCCATGGTCCTGCCTGCCAAATATTCCGCTGCCCCCGGGAGTTCCTGGTTCCTGCCTGCTGCCTGAACCCCCATCTTCCATTTCCCATGTGTCTCACACTCTAAGCCACTATGAATTCTGTCCTGTCTCAGGAAGCCATTCCTGACTTTCCACGCATGTTCCTGTAACTGAATTTGCCTATCTGGACTCGTCATACAGCCTTGTAATTTACTAGCCAGTACCTGATGGCAGGGGCAGCCCTTTTTCTCTAATGCACTCTCAGTAAAAGAATGTTGCATGGAGGCTAGGGATAGAGCTCAGTGGTACAGCGCCTGCCTGGAAAGCATAAGCTTGTCAGTCTGATCCTTGGTACAAACAAACAAACAAAAAATCACCCCAGCTCCCATCTTGGTTGCTCTCTCATCTGTAGATCACTTGCTCTGGGGGAAGCCAGTTGCTATGGTGATGCCCATGTGGCATGAGACCCAGGCATCTGACCAATAGCTATCGAGGAGCAGATGTTTGAGGACAATCCTATGGGTGAGCTTAAAGTGGGTCCTTCAACCTCCTTTAAACTTCAAGGCTGCTGCAGCTTGAGAAGAGCCCTTGAGCCAGAATCATCCTCTGAGCACACCCAGATTTCTGACACTCGAAACATGTAAATGTTTGTTTGGCCTCTGTGTGTGCCTCTGTGTATGCAGGTGCGTGTGTGTGTGGCTGGGAATTGAACCTGGGGCCTTGTGCGTGCTAGGCAAGCACAATACCCTGGAGCTTCACCCCCCCCCCAATGTTGTTCATTGTGGGTCAGCTTGTTACACAGTGATTCATAACTAGCATGATCATCCAGCGGAGGGCATTGGTTAGGATACTAAGAATGGTCAGGTAACTCAGCTTGAAACCTAATCCTGTTGAGTGGTGGCGTGATTACTGTAGTATAAATCCAGCCACACCTGGCACGGTGGCAACCCCAGAGGCACGACAAACACCAACTGGAAGTCAGAAATGTTTCACACATACAGAAGCGTTTGCCAACACTTTGCAAGTGACAATCAGGTCTAGCCCATTCATTTTCAGCTTGTGAAATTCTGAGTGGGCAGTGGCACCTTTCTAACTGTCCAGTGTCTACCGCGTCTGTATTGGGGACTAAACGGAAGTGACTGTATCACTTCAGCAAAGCCACCCCATCTCCTCTGCCCCATCGCCCCACACCACACTTGTCAAAGTGCCTTTCTTCCAGACCAAGTCAGTCCCTGGAATCTTGGGCTGGATTAAATAAAGCCCCCCTATCACCACCCCCAAAAGACCTCTTCCAATGAAGATCCAGCTTCCATTCCTACGCCCAACGCAGCCTGACATTTGTTTTTAAAATTCTCAAGTTTCTCACCAGTTTGGAGGACGGGACATGGGTAAAGAGGCGAGGTTGGACAAGGAGAGCTAAGGGTTAGCACAGGAGAAGGTTGAGGAGGAAAGGACATTTGCGGAGCACCCTCTCCACCCAGGCTACTTCATCAAGAAGAAACCCACTGTCATCCGAGCGGGGAGAAGATTTTAGTCCCAAGGAAAGAATGTGTTCAGTGGTGGGAGACCAAGAGACTCCAAAAGAACTGGGCGAGAACCATACCAATGTCCGCTTGAGGGGTGCGTGTCATGTACCAGACGCTGTTTCTCACACATTTCCCCATTACCTTATCTGATTCCCAAATGGTTCTGTCAGTCACAGAGGAGGCTGAGCAAGATTAAAGTCTTGAAAATGTAAAAGACATTTTACTGCAGGAATTTTGCAGAAGACAGAGCAGGGACTTTCCATGTCAAAGGAAAGCCTTTGTCACCTGCCTCTCAGGGACTTAGAACACAGGAAGCAGAAGTAAATACAGCCAGCACGCTCGCGGTGTTGAAGTACCAGTGCTCCCGGTCTGTGTCTTGTACTGTGTGCCCTGCATTCTGCAGCAGGAGCTGCTGCAGGGACAGAGACCTGTGTGCCGTGGTCTGCAGGCTCTGGTACCCAGTGCCGAGTGAGCTGCCTACCCAGCATGCACCACTTAGCAGCCCATTGTCTGTGAAACACTAAAATCAAGTAAAACAGAGAGGGCTCCCATAGTGTGCTACGCTTTGAATATGGTTTGAGTTTGTGGGTTAGAATTGTAAAGCACCACATCCACACACCTACACCCACACACCTACACCCCCCACACACACAGACTTGGCCCCTCCGCACACAGCCAATTTCCTTTTCTGCTTCTCTGCTATGTCATGACATAGTCAGAAGGTCTTTGGCTCTCTGGACACCAGAGTCATGAGTCAAATAAACCTCTTTATAAGTTACCCACCCTTTCTAAATTACTCGGCCTCTGGTATTTTGTTATTGTAACACAAAACGAACTAAGCCAGGCTGGCTAGCATCATATCTGCTGCACAGTCCGAGTTGGGTATTTCTTTCCGAAAACAAAAGCACAATGTATTTCAATATCTTTAGGGAGAAGTTTGTAACACTGATGCCAATGGGGGGGGGGGCTCGGATCAGCGTCCTCGGCTTCCACTTGAACCAGGTTTTGAAGCAGGAGTGGAAGTTAGCTGGAGGAAGCAGAAAGAAGCATTCGAGTGGCCTGGAAGCTGGAAGAGCAAGTCCTATACAGGAGGTGACTCTGGGGGAAGTGGGCAGGAGGTAAACCACCAGGAGGCCAGGCTGGGGGAGCTCAGGCAGGGAGGGAGGGCAGGGAAGAAGGAGAGCATGGGGGAGGGGCAAATGCTCACACCTGAGTTTCAGATCATCCTCCTATGAATGAATTGGGGGAACCCAGCCTGAGAGCAGGAGAGGGTTTTGAACCAGGAAGGACATAATAGGAGTCTGGACCAAGATGCTGTCAGAGCACCTAAGCGACAGGAGGTTTCAGCAGAACAGTGAACAAAGGAAGCAGGACCCTGTGGGATGGTGACCAGACAGGACACAGCCCCGTAGGTACAGCGTTGTCCCTTACTGATCTCCTATCCTCACACAATTGGGAAGAGGTAGAATGTGCCAGGCACGGTGCTGGGCACTTTCTGTAGCTCACCAAAGCCTCTCAGCATCTGCCGAGGATGTGGTGTCACCCCCACTTTCCACACCAGGAACCCAGGGCTCTGAAACTGCCCGACTCCTGGTCTGAACAGGGTAGCCCCATCCACTAAACTCCCCACGGATGCATGAACCAGCTTCCCATGCATCCCTGAGAGTCCCTGGCTGACCCTTCACCCTGCTGACCCACCTCATTGCCAGAAAGGTGGTACAGCCTGGCTTCCTGGAGCAGCGAGAAGACCTCGGGGCACTGCCTGATGAGAGGATCAGCCTCCACCGTGTCCACAAAGTACCACTGGTCCAGCAGCGGCAGGCGCACGTTCTCCAGGACGCAGGGGAGCAGGCAGAGCCGTTCCGACTGTCTGTGCCTCACCCAGCTCATCACTGTCTCGAACACCTGAGCCTCCTCCGTCACATACAGGTCATCACTCTTCAGGATGTGGTAGAGGGTGTCCACGGGCAGCTCGAGGAACTCCTCAGAGTTCAGGATCTGCACAAAGTTCTGAATGATGTAGCTCTGAACCTGCTTCTTGAGGGAGTCCAGGGAGTGCGTGTCCGCCAGCCTGAGGATGCCCACGCAGTTTTCCGGGTTCAAGGCTTCCGTGAGGAAGCTGGCACATGCGTCCACCATCCGCAGGAACTAGAAGGAAAGAACAGAGGCAAATCAGGCCCGAGAGTGATGAGACCACAGTGACGTTTGTCACTGAGCTGTGCGTAGTCGTGTAAAACCAGAAACAATCTGAATGCCCAGCACTCGTGAAATAAATGATACATTCATGCAGTTGGCAGTTCTAAAATCAGGGGGAAAAAAGCATGCTATAGAAGAAGAATAATGTGGAAAATGTTCATAAGGTATTGAGCTTTCAAAAATCTCTGCGCTGAATCTGACTCAGCCTCTGGGTTTATTTATTTTTTATTCTACGGGATAAAGATTGAACCCAGGACACTGAACGTGCCAGGCAAGTGAGCTACCAGGGATCCACGCTCCCAGCTCAAGCTTGTAGATTTGCTCAGCAGCTTCGAGGAAAAACAAGGAAAATTGGAGCACGTTAATTAAATGACTCTTTAAAAATACAACCTGCAAAATCCAGACTGTGAGAAACTGTCACAGGACAACTGATTTACTGTCTTCAATAAATGCATTCCAAGGGAAAAATAGAGGCAGAAGGAAAAGAGCCTAAAGATGAGCTCAAAGGACTGGGGTAGAGCTCAGGGGTACAGCACTTGGATGGCCTGTGCCAGGTCTTAGGTTTCGATGTCAGCAACATACAAACAAGAGACAGAGACAGGGAGTAAAGAGACATTATCAACCTACTGCAAAATATGGAAAATGGCCCTTATTTGGAGCCCTGATTTAAACAACAAAATGTCAGAAAAATGTTTATAATGGTCTTATTCAGTGATATGGAGAGTTATCATTAATTTTAGGTGTCATTAATGATATTGTTACATTTAAGGAGAATTCTTACCTTTTAAATATGTACACTGAAATGGTTACAGATGAAACGAGGAAAGTCAAATGTACACTACAAGCCTATTTTTATGAAGAAAAAAATACACTGAAGAAAAGGTGGAAGGGTATGTACCAAAATGTGAACAGTCGCTATCTCAGCACCTTAGGGCAGATCTCTCTGCAGTCAGAAACGACCTCTGCATCACAGGGGCTCACAGCAGAGAACACACATCCACACTCACATTCCGTGTCCTTCGTGGACTCCGCATTCCTGGACCCAGAAGGAAGGAAAAGCCCTAACCTGAGATGTCCCGGCCTTGTGGCAGAGGGGATGGAAGACAGAAGTGCCACACACAGGACCTGAAAGTTTCAGAGGTGGCTCCTTGTCACTGCCTTTCACCCTTAACCAGCCAGAGTGAATCATATGGCAAAATCTGTCACCAAAGGAACCACCGTCTTTGCACAGAAAATGGTCCCACGGAAATGGAAGGGAATTCACTATATACACGTGGTAATACACAGCGCCACACTCTCCAGTTAGATCCTAAGCGTTCTTCCATCTTTACTAATTTATGTACTTCATTTATTTATGAAGCCTCTAAACTGGATTAGCATCACTTTTGGAGTTAAAAAATTAATTTCTAAAGTAATCGATCAGCTCCCACAACCCACTTTTATATTATTGTCACGCTCATAAGCGTTTGCATCCCTTGTGCTCAGAGAGCATTTTGCAGATTACAGAGCACTTTCAGGTCCACTGTGTTAGTCAAAGCCACTCTCCAGAGGCGGCATCTCAGGCACAGCATCGTTCGTTCACACTGTTGCCCCCAGAGCTCAGCGCTGGAGAAGCCCCGTCTCCTGTCTCCTCTCCTTCTGCACCAGGCCCCGCAGGGTCCAGGGCTCAGTGTGCTTGCATTGGTCAGAGGAAGGGGGAGGCTGAAGAGACGGCCCTGGTGCTGCAGGCCGGTTTCTTAAGGGCAATGTTCCTGGGGCAACACTGTCCCTGTCCATGTCCACAGAGGACCTGGAATGCAAAGGACAAGACATGTCCTAGGATGCTGGTACACAGAGAGATAACAACTTCTGATTTTGGCGACAGGATGGGTGAGACAGTAGGCAGAAGAGAGGCTCTGGTGACAGGAGGTGAGGACACAGGGAACCTAAGGGGGAAGGTGACAGGCAGGACTGGTCTTGGACTGGATCAAGCTGACTGGGGCTCAGCCTTCGCTCCAAAGCATCCTACAGGCACACAATGCAAGCTTTCTGCATCGATCCCCACCGTGAAATAGGATCTTCTCACGTCAGTGCACAGCTGCCTTCTCCCCGTCCCTTAGGACACATTCCCCGGGGTCAGTGCTAAAATGGAGCAAGCCTGGCTTCAACCTCAGGTCCTCCTTGTCTGCAGCTCTAACCACCTGCAGCCCGGCTCCTCGCTTCAGCAACTGTGCAGACGGTTGAAAGTGAGAACCCTGACACCTGTGGAGTTGTTTGCAGATTTTCAGTTCAGAGAATAAAAATATACAACCGAGGCCAGGCGTCACTGAGCCCTCAGAAGCTGTCTCCAGAGTCCTCTCTGGCCTTTGGGGAAGACATCGATCAAACCCTGTCTCTCCATAGGAGTAGGTAAAGAATTCATGAACAGGACTCAAACCGCACGGGAAATACTTCCCAGAATCAATAACTGGGACCACTTCTTATTAAAAAGTTTCTGCATGTCAAAAGAAATCTCCAGCATAGTGAAAAGAAAACCCACAAACTGGGAAAAGATTTTAGTGAACTCTCTCTCAGACAAGGGCCTCTTGTCTAAAACATATAAAGAATTAAAGAAACTCAGACCTCCGAAATTCAAAGATCCAATCCAAAAATGGGCATCTGAGATGAATATGCAATTCTCAGATGAAGAAATGCAAATGGCAAATAAATACATGAAAAAATGCTCATCATCATTGGTCATTAGAGAAATGCAAATTAAAACCACACTGAGATACCATCTCACTCCTGAAAGAATGGCCAGGATCAAGAAAACCGACAGCAAATGCTGGAGAGGCTGTGGGGAAAAAGGAACTCTCCTGCACTGCTGGTGTGAGTGTAGACTGGTACAGCCTTTGTGGAGATCTGTCTGGAGATTTCTCAAAAAGTTGGGACTGGAAATCCCATTTATTCCAGCTATTCCACTTCTAGGCATATTCCCAGAAGAACTGAAAGCATCATACCACAGTGATATATGTGCACCTATGTTTATAGCAGCACAATTTGTAATCGCCAGATCTTGGAAACAACCCAAGTGCCCATCAACTGAGGAATGGATAAAAAAGTTGTGGTATTTCTATACAATGGAGTATTATTCAGCTATAAAGAAGGATCACATTGAGATATTTATCAATAAATGGGCGCAACTTGAGACCATACTCATAAGTGAAATAAATCAATCTCGCATGTATGAATACCGAATAGTTTCCCTAATGTAAGTAATGATTCAAATATATAAAAATATGTGGTAATCATGATTCCCCATTAGGTGGCCTTAAAGCCTTATAAAGTTTTCACTCATTAATTAGAAAGGCTTTATTCTGGGCTTCTTGATATGAAAATATTTGAAGCTAGAGTATATGAAGTTTTATCCAAATATTTCAAGGAAAAAGACACTATGGTAACTACTATTAAGTCAGGTTATAAGGTGGTGAAGTACTAGGTTGTTGAAACAGTCATGCTGTGACCTCTATTGTTATATTGTTATGTCCTGTTTTATCTCAATCTCCCCCTTATTGTTTCAAAAAAAAATTATTTAGTCATTTCTTATGTTTGTCTTAATTAAAGAAAAAATTCAAAAAAATTAGGATATATAAATAGTAACTCTTTTCGATTTCCTATTAACTTGTTTTGAAGTCCTGTAGTACTCCCACGATCTTGTTTTGACTGATTAGACTCTGTTTCATTCTATATGATAGTATCAAGTTTGAAGACACAGGCAACTACTTTGAAGACAATAAGATTCACTAAGATACCCATTCTGGTTTGACTATTGTCTTCTTTGGAAGTCCTGTAATGTTTACAATGCCTAAGTTTTATTGGTCTTGTTCTCTACTGTTTTGTCCAACTTTATAATATCTAATAAGATAGACAATTCTTTTTAAGGAAACAAGGGACAACGTTGATAACCATTGTTGATAAACTTGTACTCTGTTCTACACCATGTGCTATGTCTATCCTTGGTATTGACTGACAGCTTTGTTTTGCCATATTTGACTGTATTCTTCCCCCCCCCCCAAAGAAAGTAATAAGCACTAAGGAGTAATAAAATCCAAGATGTGTAAATTTTGTTGTAAAAAAGAGAGGGAAAAAAAAAAAAGAAAAAGAGCTCTAACGGATATAACAGCAAGTGTGTTTGGGGGTGTTAAATAGCTGACTTTATCAATGTTTTTGGAACATTGAACACAGCTGTTTGCAGTCTCCCTGTTTGAATGTCCATCTTGTGTTCTTTGATACTGTGATTTGAGGAACTATTTTCAAGAAGATAGTGTGTAATCTACTAGCAGGTAATTTCTTACTGTTATGTTTTTTTGTTTTGTTTTGTTTTGTTTTGTAGTTCTGTATTGCGTGTACCCTTACGCCGCTTTGGTTTGTTTTGTGTTTTTCTCTTTTTCCTCTTAAATAAAAAAAAAAAAAAAAAAAAAACCCTGTCTCTCTGCAAAGCCACACCCACCGTGCTAGCTTGGTGGGAGGAGATGGGATGAATGCTGCCTGGGTATTTTTAATACCTTTTCTTTCTCCAGCAGCTGCTCGAGACTTGGTAGCAGTGGTTGCTCTAGGAAAGGCAACCGGTGACTGGGTTAGGGTAAAAGAGAGGGTTACTGTTCATGTTTACCCTTTCCTACCCTCTCCCACTGTGTGTAGGAATTACCTTTTTAAAAACAGATGAGTTTTCTCAGGAATAAAGAACATACGGGAAGGTAACACACAAAATGCTAATAATGGTTATAAATATATATATATTTTTTGCACCAGGAATTGAACTCATGACCTTGTACTTGCCAGGCAGGCACTTACGCTGCTGAGCTATATCCCGGCTGCTATAAATAATTTTTTAAGACTGTCAAATAGGCAAAGTTTTCTATACTGAACATGAATATTTTAAAATCTGGAAAACAGAAAAAACAAATATTTTCTTAGAGACAATAAAATTAAAT